AGAAAATCAATGTTAAAATCTCTGCATACAAGAATGGATTGAAAAGAGCGATTACTGACTTTGTTTAGTATTATCTCCAGATTTTTAAGAATAAAATATAATCTACTGCTCTCTTTGTTGGAAGCCTGTAGATACAAATTAATATAATTTTTAGCGTACGAAGATGTACTACAGATATTTCAAAAACATTTTCATCGGAATACACATTTAAGTCCGTCAAGGAGATTTCTGACTTATCAAGGGCCTTTTCCACTTGAATATGACTCGTATCTAATGTTCAACCCAGCATCCTTGCTGCTCAAAATTTTACGATATGCTCCAACTTCCCAAGGTATTATGAAATTTGGTGAATGTTAGGAGTATGTGCAGGAAATATTTGTGTTGGCGTGAGATCAAGTTGAGAAGGACACCAAGAAGTAGTTGTTGAGCTGAGATAAGCTTCTGTTGACAATTATTGTGATAGCTCAGTGAAGTGACAAGTAGTCCAATTAGAGGGCAACAACGAGTACTTGACGCGGTGAACTTCGTTGGTGAAGATTTAGAAATAGCTGCTACAAGAACGAAGTTATTGTGGAGTAAGAAGACCAATTTGAGTGTCGTATTATTACAACGAAAGATCAAGATATTGCGAGAAAGACTATGTGATATAACTAAGTTTAAAAATCCGATTATAAACTTCAAATCAGTGACTTATACAAGCTAATCAGCTCAAAATTCTCAGGTCGTCATTTTGTAAATGCATTTAGTTAAGTAACATTTGGAGAATTACTTTAATAAATTGTAAACTTAGGAGACTTAGATTAAGTTATTTTGTTTAAATTTAGTAATATTCTGTAGTTTATTTTTATTTTCTTGTGTTTTGTTAATACGATTAGATATTTTTGTAATAATTCTTTATTGAAGAAAGGAAATACTTTTTATTCAAATTTCGCTAAACCAGTGGCGTTGCTCAGGTTTGAGACACTATTTATTGCTCAGGTCATTAACATTCAGTAGGATGTTAAGGTAATTGTCTGCAGTTAAGAGTGGGAAAATGGTCAGTACGTAAATAATGTGATGAACCTAGGCTCAATGACGCACAATTAATAACAGACTTAATTTTACTTACAATGGCATTTACAAATTAAAAAAATACGTATTTAGTATTATATTAAAATTAAATAATTACAAATATAATAATTATTCTTACATATATTATTTGTAACAATGTATTGTATTGTTGAATTCCTTTAAATTCGTCACAAAATATTTAATGATGATTCTTGCTGATCATCAGAAAGATTTTCACTTGTGTCTTGATCTTCAGGATTAAGAGAGTGCCTTGATCGGATGTGTCTGTCGAGATCACGACGACGAACTAATACTTTCCCACAGAAGTCACATCTGAAAAGAAAAAAATGGGTATTTTGTGTTCATATTTTGTATATAATAATTTACTTGCTGTAAAACGATTATTACTTTCTCGCACACTACGTACATAGTTCAGAGAAAGTTACCTAATGACGGCTATATTGATGTATTCTTTTTATTTTTCAAGAACTACAAAGGTATTTTTACTTTACTTTACGCGTAAGCTGTATAGAGAAAGAAGTAATGCTGAGAAAGAAGTAACGGCGAATTTTCGGCAGAAAACTCCTATTACAGACCTCTGGCAAAGAAAATCCTCTATCACGTGGTGTAGCCAGAATCCATGTAGCCAATGTTCATTTGTGGGTCCTTGATTCCAAAACATCGATTGACAGCAAAACGACTGTCCGTCTGTCTGTCAGGCTGTCTGTTCCTCTGTCATTGAACAACGCTAGCCACTAAACCGATTAGCCTATTTTCTCCAGCACTAATTTATAGACTTGTACAAGTTTAAAGATCGTTGCAAATTTCGATTGTAAAACTTGTGTAATGCTGCGCTTGCGCAAGTTTACTTGAACGTCTGTGGCAGCACACGTCGCGGTTTAGTTGTAGACAAGCTATTTTTGATAAGTGCGTACATCTTGCATTCTGATTACATGCCACGACTTGTGATGAGCTGCATGGAGTTTGAGAGAGAGATTTTGGAGGAATTCATTAATATAATTTATAATATATTCATAATATATAACTCATTAATATCCAGTCTTTGGGTTCAAATTTCAATTCAATTAATAAATTGATGTGCGAATACTGCTCTCTTTTTCGTAACCAGTCTTTACACCATATAGAACAATTTCTTTCAGGTCTTTTCAACTTTTTTGTAGCAAATATTAATCCAACTACAGCCAAAGCGTCATCCATAGCTGCACAATGCATCTGGACGCTCACTACAGAAACGGTACCGTTCAAGCATACTTGAGCCATCTGTGGTCACTTGGAAAATACGTATGTTTGCGCAAGTTTAAACTTATATCGTAACGTGTATGGCTACCATTACAGTGTATCATATTAAGGATCATACGTAACAAATATGACAGTAACTTGACTATCCTCCCCCCTTTTGCTAGGCCGAGAACGTTTCGTACTTCCTCTGAACAAATTACATGAAATACAATATTGATAATTGAAACTACGTATATCCCCCAGGCAAACACGGTTCTGCTGAAGGGGAGGAAATTTATGATACAATTATCCAGGGGAAATTTCGTTTAACTGTTGGAGAAGGAAGGAAATGAAGAAAATTTTAACCATCCAAAGAAACGTTTGCATATCAAGAATACTTACTTGTAAGGGGTCTCACCTTCTGCATGTAGACGAATATGTTTGTTGAGGTTGCTGGGGTCACCAAACGGCCGGAGACAGTATTTGCATTTCAAAGGTTTATATCCTGTATGCGTTCTGAAATGAGATGTAACATTATGTTTTAAACTTAAATATGTGACGGTCAATAGAGGACAAATAACGCTATAATATTAGCAGATTTAAAATTTCATAACTTCTTGCTTCTTCATTGAGAAATTAATTTTTTGTATAACAATATCTACCTGTATCTCTGTATAATTCCGCGAATGGCATAAAGTTGCAAGAGAATCCTAATTATGTGTCAGTCTATTTTAATCTAAATTTCATACCTCAATTTATAGTAATTAATCTACGGAGCAATATTAGTGATAATAAATCCCCATCGCAATGATTCGGAGTAATAAAATATATGTTGAATGCCATTTTTAAGCGGATATTTGTGCAGTAATTGACAACGAGGTACGGACAGCGCGGTGACGCTAATTCCAAAATCTATTCCAACTTAGTGTTCCCACCCCCGTCGAATCAGAAAGACTCCGACTGTGCAGCAAGTACCTGCATACCAAGGTCAACCTTTGTACCCCGCATGTTGACCGTAGCACAAAGGGAAATAATATACAGAATTTTCCCTTTAGTGTCCTTCATGTACCACCCAATTGCTGAGCAACGTTTGTAGATAATGGGTTAAAATTCTGAGAGAACAATATCCCCTTGAAATCTCTGAAATCTTTTAATCGATTCACTATCAACAATAAAGTGCGGGAGATAATAATCAATTTTATTAAATCTTCACGTTTGTGGCATTACCAGCAATGCAAACATGCAAGTAATGTGAATGTCACACTCTTCAGGATCGCTTCACTGCGCTTGATAAAATTGGGAGACTTTTGTTTTGTATTCAGTGCGTAATACTCTGCTATAAAGTGCAGTGCAGTTAGGTGGTTGCAACAAATCTCTTTGTAATAAATTTTCACATCTGATGATGATTTAGTGAGAAAATTTTGTTTTCTAACTCTGAAGAAGCTAAGCATTTACCTGAAGGATATGATATTGTACTTCATGAAGACCCAATGATACCTGCTACACCATTTACTGAGAGACATTATGAATGGTAAAGATTCGTAGTAAAGTTATTTTTGAGAGGATGAAAGAGAGATTTTTGGCATACAAGTTTTTTGGTGGAAATTTAAAGCTCGTATTGTCTGGAGAAGGTCTGAGGTCTATACATGTATATCCCGGAATCCTGCATTCAAAATATAGCAAGGTTTGAAATTTCCTTGTAGTTAACATTTCATACGAAAACGTATCAAATATTAATTACTTCAAGGAAGGAGCATTTTCAAAGGGTGGCCTTCAATCTCGTAATCAGGGCAGTATTGTTCTTATACCCAAATTATTGCTCTAGATCTGATTGCGGTGCCGTCTACTGTGTGTATTGAAAACAATATAGACTTTTATCCCATTAATACATTCTCAAATATATTTATTTTCTGAGATTAATGAAAGTGAAGCTTTTAAGCTGGCTAAGTTTTATATAAATACGTTCAAATCAATTTTTTAAATAACATTTATTTGTAATTTATAGTAAATACTACAGAGTTTGACAAAATAACTAACTACATACTAATACAACGTAACAACTCATTACAAAATGTACATCGAATACTAGTCTGTAATACAGTACATAGCATTTGAAAACATAACACACTTACTAGAAGTATTACTTGCGTGCATTATTAACTATAAAACTATCAGAAACATTTAAATCTTGTTAATATAGCGAATCACAGAAAGTATAATTACAATACCTTATGCGTATTATACAGAAATGCATTAATTAGGACATTTATTTTTGAAAAACCTGATCATCTTATTGGTGTATAACAAAAATTACCATTATTGTGGGTACTATTGTATCTTAGGAAATACTACTGGTAAGAATAACATCTCTAAAAATAAAAATGAATGATAACAATGATGTCAATAATATCAAATATACATTTAAGAAAAAATAAAACAACTACATGTAAATTTCCAAATAATAGTATGTCCAATGCACATAATGAAATACCACCCACATAAAATACAGACTGTTAAGTACTGTACATTTATGAAGAATAATCAATTTATCTTATTGTGTCTTCCCGCAGTATCAATTGCACATTTATACAATTCCTTAGTCTTGATAAGCCAATGTTTAGGAAATACATTTTTCTTCGATTTTCACAATTTCACCAAATTTATTCTTCAGAAGTGATTCCCATAGGGATAAAAAACGTGTCGCAAACTGATGCTCTGTAGTAAGCATTTACATATAAATGAAAAAATTCAAACTACTTTATTTGAACATAATAAAACTCAAGGATCATATTTATTTTCGAAACACCCAAAGTTTGGCTTGAAGAAGTCACGAGTAAAACTTTGCTAACATAATTTATATAATTGTGTACGATTTTTAAGGTATGAAATTTACGAGTAGTTAACGAAAGTTTTTAGCGAATAAGAATGACAAATCGTAATACAAATGCAAATTTCATTATTTTTGGTTCATTATTGTTAACATTCTTTTTCGAAGCAAATAATTTCAAAGACACTTTTTGTGATTAGAATATTCTTATTACTTTTGTTACTTTTGTATTTCATGACATAATACATTCAGGAAAAGAGAAGTTTTAAATATTTTTGTTCGACATTATTCGAACGAAAGATTTTTCGTGCGTAGTTGTACAAAAAAAGCCAAAAAGGTTATTTCGGTTAATCTGCAGGTGTAAGTAAGAAACACAGTTCTATATACGAATAAAATTATTACTGCTATTTTATTTAGAAAAAAATTCTTTCACTCCATATAATTTGATGAAACGCTGACATGGAAAGTAGAATATATTTTCAAATTTATTATTATTATTATTATTATTATTATTGGTATTATTATTATTATTATTATATTTTATAATTATTTTATTTTTAAACGTAATATTTATATAATAATAAATAATGCTAGTGGCCTGGAGAAGCAAAAATGTTACTGAACAAAAACACTCAAAATGTTTTTGTAAAGGGCCATTCAATTTGCAATGACCAAACCCAACAAATAAAATCCTCTCTTACAATCCTACTACTACAGATTAAATATTTTAACACTCGGGAAGATGAATAAGAAGAAAAAGATGCAGTACCAAATTACAGCGTCCTTTACAAACCAAGAATATAAACAATGTTTCATAACGCTAAATGTGAACAGCAAATATTTCAGAGTGTGAGGCTTCTTTCTTGGCGTCTTGCTTGCGCATGACTTTAGCTGTGTCGTACGCAGCGACACACTAAATATGAGAAATCAGTCGATAAGTGCTACTGCACAGTATGCGGAATAATAAAATATTATTTCAATTACATAACCTTAACAAACAATATGAGAAAATATGTGTTGTAGCTCCCTAGTTTATTTTACATTGTATTTTCAGATGTTTTGGTTTCTTACTACACTAATTTCTAGTTCAGCGGGCTTTTTCTACCCACGTACTGTGCAGTTTATCATGTTTTCAAAAACATTCCTTAAACAGAAGATTCGTTTAAGTTCAAAGAAATTATTAAGACTTAATAAACAAAAAGGTTGGCGAGATTATTTCACACAAGACTATGAGAATCCCTCAATTCAAAATTGAAGTTTGAATCGCATAAATGTGCTTAATGAGCTTCGCATTTGGGATGAAACACGTGAGATACAGAGCATGCGTCTAATCGGTACCCGCTACTTCAACGCCTACCAACCAACACCGCCTCCGCGCGTTACCTGATGTGTATCTTGAGGCCGTACTTGCGGGAGTAGATCTTGCCGCAGTAGATGCAGAGGTGGCCGTGCTTGGAGGTGCCCAGGTTGCTGACGAGGGTCTCCATCTCGGAGGGGTGCGCCGGGTAGGCGGGGGCGGGGTGGTCGAGGGGGCGAGCGGCGCGCAGCGAGGCGGCGGCGCGCCGCGGCGGGCGGCAGTGGGGGGCGGGGCCGCCGCCGGCCGCCGCCGCGGGGGCAGCAGCGACGCCAGCCGAAGGGGCCCAGGCGCAGCAGCGGGGGCGGCGCGGCGCGGCGCCAGGGCGTCGGGCGCGGAAAGAGGCTCTGCGCGGAACAGTAGCGGAGCGCAGGAAGTCGCTGCCCCGCCGCCGCGGACACGCCCACCTCTTGCGGAAACAACGGCCGTCTTCACGCAGTGCTCACAATCGAATTATTTAGCCACCCGTTCTTTCGGATTGATTTCCAAAATAAACTATTTATTTTAATATTTATGAAAAGAAACGCGTTCATTAAATGAAGAGTAACATGGATATAAAAGAAATGTTTTTCATTCGGAACCATACATAAAAAAAATATTTAACAGCCCAGTACAATCTTGCGTAGTCATGCTTCTTTTTATTATACTTTGCAAACCACTGAGTGCTTTTTTCCGTTTCGCTAGTTTTGTTTAGAAATATCAGATGGAATTTTCGCTGAGTAATCCATTCACAAAATAAATACGAATATCTTGGAAGTAATACAGTATAATATTGTCGATATGATAGCAACATTGTTCAAAATAAATAGGTATTAAGAGCTACAGTGAATTTAACAAGTTACTTATTATAAATTTCACCTGAGAGCTGGCGTATGAAAGTAATTTTAAACAACCGGATCTGCGATGACAATAAGGTTTTGACCAACCGGTTTGTGAAGTACAATTTAATTTTGACAACCCGGTCCGCGGCGGGACCAGTTCGTTTACCGGGGCCCCAGTTGTTTGGGAAACCCAAAAAATCCTCCTCTTG